GATTCTTCGTGTGATACTACTGCACTGGCCAAAACATACCTGGGGGGAAATAGAGCCAAGATGGCAGAACAAAGGCAGGGACTTGCCTAAGCTTGCTCCCCCAAACCTCTCCAAATACCTTTAAATAATGCCTCAAAACAAATTCTAGAGCAGCAGAACACACAAAAGGACAAAGTGAAACAATTTTCCAGCCCAAGACAACTTAGAAGTTCAGCAAGAAAGGTCCATTTCAAAAGGGTGAGAGTAGAGTACAGTAGTCAAGGCTTCAGTGGATAGCAAACCCATAGCAGGCCTTGTGGGGGGGGTGTGACTGAATCAGGGGTAGCAGTGGCAGAACTCTCAGCCCACAGATGGTAAGGAGATGAGACAACTGGTCGGAAGTGGTCTTTTTGCTGACACCAGGGGCAACACTCTGTCTTGTTGCTTCTACTTGGATGTGGATTGAGGTCCTGTGTCTGAGTCCCAGGGAAAAGAAGAGCACTAGCAACCTAGAGCTTGTGCCCACAGTGAAGCCGGGACCCATGTCACAGTTCTACAATGGAAAAGAGATCAATGTGCAGTACAGGAGAGTAATAAACACACCTCTTTCTAGATAGATCATACTCCCTTGGAAAAACCAAAAACTTACAGGTTCCCTAGAATTACCTCTGAAAACAGCTGCACAAAAAACTTGAAGCTTGGGATGATGTCCCCTCCACTATGGAAGCAGACCCCCATTTTAGCATAGAGTTAAAAGTCAAGAAATAGGCTGGAAAATGAGCAAACAGCAGAAAAAAAAACCACATCCTGACTATAGAAAGGTGACACCGAAGATCAAAACACAAACTCAGAAGAAGATAACAAAGTCAAAACCTCTACATCCAGTGCCTCAAAGGAAAATATGCATTGGCCCCAGGCCATGGGAGAGCTCAAAAAGGATTTTTAAAATGAAGGAAGAGAGGTAGAAGAAAAATTGGGAAGAGAAATGAGAGTGATACAAGAAAATCATGAAAAAAGAGTCAACAGATTGGTTAAAGTGGCACACAAAAATACTGAAGAAAACAACACCTTAAAAAACAGAATAGGCCCAATGGTAAAAGAGGCACAAAAATCCAATGAAGAGAAGAATGCCTTGAAAAGCAAAATCGGCCAGCTGGAAAAAGATACACAAAAATTCACTGAAGAGAAGAACTCCTTAAAGAGCAGAATTGGCCAAGTGGAAAAGGAAGTACAAAAGCTCATAAAGAAAATAATTCTAAAATTTAGAATTGGGCAAGTGGAAGTTAAGGACTTTATGAGACATCAAGAAACAATGAAGCAAAATCAAAAGATGAAAAAATAGATGAAAATGTGAAAGAGCTCATTGGAAAAACAACTGACCTGGAAAATAGACCCAGAAGAGATAATCTAAGAATTAGTAGACTACCTGAAAGCTACAATTTAAAAAAAAAAAGACCCTAGACATCATCTTTCAAGAAATTATCAAGGAAAACTGTTCTGATGTTCTAAAACCAGAGAGTAAAATATAAACTAAAAGAATCCATTGATCACCCCCTGAAAGAGATCCCAAAATGAAAACTCTCAGGAATATTACAGCCAAATTCCAGAGCTCCCAGGTCAAGGAGAAAATGTTGCAAGGAGCCAAAAAGAAACAATTCAAACATTGTGGAGCCAAGTCAGTATAACACAAGATTTAGCAGTTTCTACATTAAAGGATCAGAACACTTGAAATATGATATTCTGAAAGGCAAAAAAGCTAGGATTACTAACCAAGAATCACCTACCCAGCAAAACTGAGTATAATCTTTCTGGGGGTGGGTGTGGGGGTGGGAATAGACATTCAATGAAATAGAGGATTTTCAAGTGCTCCTGATGAAAAGGCCAGAGCTGAATAGAAATCTGATTTTCAAATACAAGATTTAAAAGAAGCATAAAAAGGTAAACAGAAAGAGAAATAACAAGGGATTCAATAAGGTTAAACTGTTTACATTCCTACATGGAAAAAAATACTTGTAACTCCTAAAAACTTTCTCATTATTAGGGCAATTAGAAGGAGTATACATAGACAGGAAGCTTAGGTGTGAGTTGAATATGATGGGGATGATCATCTGAAAAAATTAAGAGATGAGAAAGAAGAATGTACTTAGAGAAGTGAAAGGGAGAGTTAGAATGGGGTAAATTATCTGACATAAAAGAAGGCTGAAAGAGATTTTACAGTGAAGGTGAAGATGGGGCAAAGGGGAATCATATAAACCTTATGCTCATTGGAATTGGCTGAAAGAAGGAATAATATACACACTCAGTTGGGTGGAGAAATCAATCTTACCATATAGGAAAGTAGGAAGAGAAAAGGACAAGGAGTGGAGGGGATGATAGAAGAGAGGGCAGATTGAGTTAGGTAAAATTCAGAAGCAAACCTCTTTTGAGAATGGACAGAGTGAAAGGAGAATGTGTAGGATAAATGGGGGAAATAAGATAGAGTGAAATACATAATTGTTAATCATAACTCTGAAAAAAATTACAAGTTTCTCTGATAAAGACCTCATTTTTCAAACATAGGAAAATGAGTCAAATTCCTAGAAATAAGAGCCATTTTTCAATTGATAAATGGTCAAAGGATATGAACAGGCAGTTTTCAGACAAAATAATCAAAGCTATCTATAGTCATATAAAAATGTTCTAAATCACTATTGATGAGAGAAATGCAAATTAAAATAACTCTGAACCAGCACTGCACACTTATCAAATTGGCTAACATAATAGAAAAGGAAAATGACAAATGTTGGAGGAGATATGGGAAAATTAAAAAAAAATGTTGGTGAAGTTGTATACTAATTTAACCATTGTGGAGAAGAATTTGGAACTATGTGCAAAGGGCTATAAAATCATGCATACCCTTTGACCTAGCAATACCACTACTAGGTCTTCATCCCAAAGAAATAAAAAAGAAAAGAAAAGAAAAAGGACTATATGTACAAAAATATTTATAGCAGCTCTTTTAGTGGTGGCAAAGAATTGGAAATTGAGGCATGTCTATCAATTGAGGAATGGCTGGACAAGAAAAACCTGGAAAGACTTACATGAACTGATGCAACGTGAAATGAGCAGAACCAAGAGAAAATTGTGCACAGTAACAACAGTATTGTATTATGATCTACTGTGGATAACTTAGCTATTCTCAGCAATACAATGATCTAAGACAATTCTGAAGGACTTATAATGAAAGGTGCTATCTCCAAAGAAAGAACTGGTAGAGACTGAATGCAGATCAAAATTTTTTTCTTTTTTTTTCTGTGTTTTCTTTTACAGCATGACTTACATGGAAATGTTTTTTGCATGACTACACATGTATAACCTATATCAAATTGCTTGCTTTTTCTTGGGTGATAGGAAGAATTTGGAACTCAAAATTTGAAAAAAATGTTAAAACAATGCTTAATTTTTTTTTACATATAATTGGAAAAAATAAACAATTTAAAAAGCAATAAAAAAAACCCTAGGACTCAAAGCTGGACCCAACATGGTAAGAAAAGGAAGTTCTTCTGTTTGAAATCATTTCCCCCCTTACCACCCCTCAGCATGTTCTTTCTCAGATTTGTTCAATATTTAAGTTGAAACTAGGAAATTCCATTAAATTATTACCTTGCCCATAAGAATTAACAAAAACTCACTGGAATTTCAGCAAGTGACAAAAGAAGCATTTAGCAATACTAATGAGAGCAGTGTGTAAATGTGCATTCCTGCAGATCAGATCTCTAATCTCTTATCTATTGATGCTAGTGCTGCCTCTGGACCTATAACTACAGAATTTGATATCTCCTTACACTGAATCTCATTTATCATCAATTGATAACTTCTAGATTCCTTTCCACTTTCAGGAAATTTCTTAACCCAAACACCCTGGCCTCTTCAATCTCCAAAGGTTTAGATTTTGATATTAACATTAATGTATCCCCAAATCATTCACTACTGCATTAAATGTTTCCTTTATTAATTTGTCTCTAGTGCCCATAAGAACTCCTAATATTAAAAGGTCATTACTGTACTTCAAGGATAAAACTTTATACCAATGTCACAAAATTTTAATATCCATACCATTAATTTCTTAAAAAAACATAATTATCGTGAATTGGATCGCATTTATGGGACTGATCACATATTAGCATTATCTTTAGTCATAGGAGTTCATTTTTAGAATACTTTGAGACATCTTAAAGCAACCACAGTCAATTCATCTCTGAACTCTGTTCTCCCCTTAGAAAATAAGTGACCTTTAAGATTGTAGAGGGATAAGAAGTGTCTCTCTGACTCATCCATGGATTCCCTGAAGTGTATGTGTGCAGCCATCCTCATATACAATGTCATATAGTTACTCTGTGCCCTTACTTTCTGGGGTAATTGTGACTGGAATATGTTCTTCCCTTGTATATATCTTCAAAGAGTTGGAAATGCCAGGCATAGGGTATCACTAAAAAGAAATAGGAGATGCAAAGACTGATATCACTGTAACTGAGCAATTATTGGCTCATTCAATATCACTGAGGTGTTCAGTAGCAGATCCAGGATTTAAAGTAGGAACAACTGATTTCAAATCCAGTGTTTTCTTTACTTCTCTGAACAATCTTCATCTTCCTTGCCCCTAGACCATAATGATCTTTCCCTTTTCCTCATCATAGACTGGGCAAGACTTCCCATGTTATGCGTTGTTTATATCTGTCTGCAACAGAGATGATGTTTCTTATAGAAAGGTGTAGAGAATCACTCTGGGGTTTCCAAAAGTACATTCTTACTTTCTGAGCCCTTGTAATAGGAAGAATTTGGGTTCAATAGTGTCTGTGGTAGCTGTCCGTGGTAGCCAAGGCCTAGTACAGTATTGTTCAATTCTTCCTATGATGATTTTTAGCAGTCAGTAAAACATTTAATAACAAAGTTCCACAGAAACTCTGAGTTATACCTTAAAAAAAACACCTCTTTACAACACACTTTTGTTGACAGACCTCCAGTGATGAGGCCTCCCTTACCTTCTAAGGCAAGCTTTTCCTCCTTGGGATGGCTCCAGTCAGCCTCCACAATCTCTTTACATTGGTAACTGTCTTCCTAACTGCTATATGAGGAATCTCGAAGCCATGCTCCACTATCTCTTCTCTGGCTATCTCTCCACCAATTACCTAATTAATTAGGCAAACACTTCCCTCTCCCTTTTCTCTATACCCCCTCTAGTTCTGGAACCATGAACCATGATTATATCAACACTGTATTTCTGGAAGAAGTCTGTTATCTATTCTCCTATTGCCACGCTCATCATTCTTGGAGCCTTCAGGATCAAAGTGTTCTTTCCTGGATACCACTTACATATCTGCATTGTTTCTCCCAATAGAATGAAAGTTCCTTGAGAGCAGGGACTAAATTTCCTTTTATATTTGTTTTCCAAGAACTTAACATAGTTCGAGAGACCATGTAGGTCCTTAATAAGGGGGGAGGAGAATGAGGGAGAGTGGGTCACTCATTCAATATTCATTAAGAAGTTTTTCCTTACATTAAGCTTGAATTTGCCCCTTGCTGCTTCCCTACCATTGCTCCCAGTTCTGCCATCCAAGACTAAACACAACAAGTTGAATCACTCTTCCACGTGATAATAGCTCTTTAGGTACTAGAAAATCATTATTGTATTATCATAATCCATCTATGTCCCCTCTTCTCCAGGTCAATTGTCCCCAGCTCCCTCAACTGATTCTTATATGACATGAACTCAAGACTCCTCACCATGATTGTTCTTCTCTAGATACTCTCTAGATATGATTCTGTTGAAGACTATAACATCCCCAGAGATGGACACAATATTGCTTTTAATTCAGCCCAAGTTGGCATTAGTTTATTTTTTATCTGTTTCATCACTTTTGACTCATGTTAAGCTTGCCATTGGCTAGGTTTATAAGCTCCCTTATGATCCCCTAAATTTATGAGCTGAAATGGATCTTAGAGGTTATCAAATCCAATTTTGTCATCCTATAGATTAGGAAACTAAAGCCCAGAGAGATGAAGTCATTTGCCCAAAATTACTCTCACAGTCATGGGTAGAGCTATGATTTCAATACAGGTCCTTTGATTCTAAATCCAAAGCCCTATCCACTGTTCCAAGCTACCTTTATAACTCACAAATTTTATTTATCAGATCAATTGATATCCAGCCACACCATCCTCATCTTGAACTTGAGAAGCTGAATTTTCTTTTTTAGCCCACATGTAAGATTTTATCTTTATCTTTATTAAATTTCATTTTATTTAATTCTGTGCACTATACTAGATTGTCAACATCTCTTTTGGTCCTGATTCTATCATCCAGTGTGTTAGATATCCCTTTTAGCTTTGCATCTTCTGCAAATTTGATAAAGTTTTATCTCTGCAATTATCCAAATCATTGTTAGAAATGTTAAACGGGAGAGAGCCAATCAGAAATCCCTGAGGTACCCCCACTGAACACCTTCTTCCAAATTGACATTTAACCACCAATGAATACTGTTTGGTTTGGCCATTTAACCAGTTCATCTATCCAATTAAATTATATCATCTTGCCCTCATTTCTACATCTAAACCATAATACTTTGCTGTATATTTTGCTGACATTTTAGTACTTTAGTGCTATATGCTTTGCCGACATTCTCCTGATAAAGCAGTCTAATAATACTATTTAAAAAGGAAATGTGGTTAATCTGGCATGAACAATTCTTGATGAAGCCATGATGTATCTGTCAACTCTACTTCATTTTCTGAATGTTCACTAGTGATCTCTTTAAAAGCATTTTCTAGAATTTTCCCAGGAATCAAAGTGAAGTTCACTGGACTATAATGTTCAGACTTCATCCATTTAAAAAAGTAATCAAGACACTGCCATTCCCCAATCCTATGGAACCTTTCTTGTTGTCCCAAGTCTTTCAAAGATCAATAAGAGTGACTTAGCAATTACACTATAAATGCCCTAAGAAGGAATTCATCTATGTCGCTATTGACTAAAATTCATCAAGAACAGCTAGGTGTTCTCTTGTTCTCTCCTTATTTACCTTCTTTACTTTGAAAACCTATATATTATAAAGGCTCCTTCACTTTCTCCTATTTACTTCTATCCCACCACCTTACATGAAATTCAGGGTCCTGTCAAAAGTAGCTGCTCCAAGGATATGTATGGCAGAGAACTTCTAGGTGAATAACATACATTTTTTATATGTTACTCCTCCCCTACATGTTAATGTCCAGCTAAATTTGCCTTTTCTCCATTCCTCACACATCAGATCTCCAACACCTATGCTTTTGTATTTGCCTTTTCACCTCGGTTTCCTGGAATCCCTCACTTCCTTCAAGAAGGAGATCAAGCCCCATTTCTACAGAAAACCTTTTCCTGATATCCCCAACTACTAGTGCCCTGTCTCCCTAACTACTTTGTATTTATTTGGTATTTATTCTGTATATATTATACAATGCTGGGTGGTGTAGAGGATAGAGTGCTGAATCTGGAATCAGGAAGACCTGAGTTCAAATCCAGTTTCAAATACTTACTAGCTGTGTAACCCTGGGAAGTATATCCACCTCATTTTCCTCATCTATGAAATGGGAATAATAATAGCACCTGCCTCCCAGGGGTATTATGGGGTCAAATGATATAATATTTGTAAAGTGCTTTGCAAACCTTTAAGAGTATTATTATTGTTGTTGTTAAAATGCATGTTGTCTACCTCAGTTGAATACAAACTCTTTGAGAATAAGAATTGTTTCATTTTACGTCTTTATGCTCTTAGGACATAGCAGGATGCCCATCATATAGTAGGTACTTAATAAATGCTGTTTGATTAGTTAATTGACTGATCAGTCCACAGCACAGGATGGGCTGGGAAACAATATTCTAGAAAGTATGTTTAGGATATGCCTTCATTTCTTCCTAGTGTTTCTCCTGTATTGACTTTATGTAGGTCCTATAGAAAACGCAATCTGAAAGAATAACTTGATTCAACTGCTTTTGTTCATATGGATGTTATCCAATGTGTTCTTTATGCAGCATTAAAGAAGCAAAGGGTTGGAAATTATTGGTGAACAAAATCATTGGACCACTGGAGCTAGGTAGCCCTATATTTTGGAATCTGCCTACAGAGCCTTGACCATGGGGTGGGGGAAGGGTGTCCAAGGACCTTCTTGCTAGAATGCAGGTTTTTCTAGGCATTCCCCAGACTCTGATTGTGAACATTACCTGCAGGCAAACTACCCAGAATTCTACTGACTTTCATCTTTGAAGGGGCAAGAAGAAGGAACATATAGTAATCATGTAGAACAAAGAAAGCTAGAACACGTCAACCCAAGAAAGGTATACATGTGTAGCCATTCATTTTAAGTCTGGCAAACAGGTCATTCTTCTTGGTTCAGATGTAAGACTTTGACACAGACCAAATTACAGGAACACATGGAGATAAAACTGGAGCCTCTTATGGCTAATGTCTTAGAGCAAGGTGTCAAGGCCCAAGCCCATCCCCATGCAATAGAAACAGAAAAACTATATTCACAATGACAAGAATATAAATGGAAAGAAGAACAACAATAAACATCAAAATTTGGAGAGTTCTGGGAAAATACTATGTGCTAGCAGAAAATACCCTAACTTTCCATTTTTCACCACCTCCATCACTCAGCTTTTAATGAGCTACTTAATAAACTTTGATGCCTCCCCCCAAATTTTTAAACTTTATTTTAATAGAATTTATTTCTTATGAATCATATGCATTTTATTTTATGCATTTAAAAACATCATTCTGAGAAGGGCTCCATAGGCTTCAGCAGATTGCCAAAGGGAATCCACCCATGATGTAAAAAATGTTAAGAACCCCTGGACTAGATTATCTCTTGGAGATAATCTTGGAGAGTAGGAACAACTTGCAAACATTGATAACACTTGGTATAAGGAAAATTTTCTAAGAATTAGAGCTATAGAAAAGTGAAATGTAGTAACTGAGTTACCTAGCTATCACTAGAGGTTTTCAAGTACATTTTGTGGAAGTGATTTTTTCTAGTATTTGGGATAAGCTAGATGGTCTTTGAGGTGTCTTCCTACTCAGTTCCTATGATTCTAGCGCAATTATTATTATCCTCATTTTAACAGAGGAGGAGAATCAAGGTAATAGAGGTTAAGTGACCTACCTCCAGGGTCACACAGCTAGTAAATAGCAGAATTTGATCTCAAACACATACAGTGCTCTTTCTCCTCACTCCTGCTACCTTTTCTACAGACAAATAAATACATAAATAAAGGAATGGATGGATGGATGGATGGAAGGATGGGTAGGTGGATGGATGGATGGATGGATGGATAGATGAATGGGCTATAGATAGAAAGATAAGCTCTTCCCTGTATTAGTAGGCTTTCCAGTTATCTAACTCTCACAACCCTTCATTTCATTTAACTGTTAAGATAGTCTTTGGGAAGCTTCTTTGTCTTCAAAGTAAACATCCCTTTGTAAAAGCTAGGTGGTAAAGTGGTTAGATCACTGGATCTGCACATCCAGCGTTGGACACTTACTAGCTGTGTGACTCTGAGTATGTCACTAACCTCTGCCTGTCTCAGTTTCTTTATCTGTTGATTGGGGATAATAACAGCACTGACTCCCAGGGTTGTTGTGAAAATAAAAGGAGATATTTTTTGTAAAGCACTTTAAAGTCCTGTATAAATGTTAGCCATCGTTGTTATTCTGCAGGTATTGCCTATATTCTCTCTAGCTTATAAATTGTCTGTACTTCAGAACTATTGAAGGAGAGTCTTTCAACAAATGGTCCAATGAAATACTTTGTCCATAACTTTTTTAGCTCTCAATCCAGTATTTCAATTCCCTTTCTCATTCTGAGCTAAGATGGAAGCCAAACATTCCAGAGAGCTAACTTGGTTTGCTGGTCATTGAAATACTGAAATATGGAAACCTGTTGGGTGAGCATCTATAATAGATGAAGGAACAGGAGGCAGGAAAGATTATCCAAGAGAGAAGTCTCTCTCTATACTTCAACACATACTTTTCATTTTTGAAGAAAAAGTTGGTGTTATGAAATACAAATTACTTGGCAGGTTGCTCTAGAGTTGCCTCAAAGAAACATATTTTGAAATACAAAAGGACATAAAAGACAAGTTCCATTAAAGAATCTCCAAATATGACATCATTTAGACCTGTTGTCATGTGAAGTTTCAAATAAAATTATGGCAAACAAAAAAACCCTCTCTGGTGCTAAATTTCATAATTCACTTCATTACGCTTCCCAACCCTCGTTAATATTTCTTTC